GATATTAATAAGTTGTAAATTTTAGAGACATGTGAATTATTAGTGATTTTTAAAGTAAAATCAAACAACAAAATCTGTGATTCTCTTTAATAGTTGAAAATAGATCACATGCCAAACATCTTATGTTTGACTAATCAGATCCTGCTGATGTTAAGACACTGTCTTGTTTACAGTGCTAGATGATAGGGCAGTAAACAAATATGGGATTCAAATTAGGAGTTTCTTTCTCCTAATTGAACTACCAACCAACACTATTGAGTCTTTATCTCCATTGCTACTGAGGGTATTTATATAGTTGTCATGTCCACTATGATTTTAGGTTATTAATTGTATTTACACATAGATGGCTTTACTAGTGCATAATATCACAGAGCCAATTACTAGTCCTACTTTACCTTGAACAAAAAATGGGGATAGTGCTGTGCCTATTTTCTATATTTTTTTTGTGAAATGTTTGCCCATAGATAGCTCTGTTAGTGCCTGATTTGAAATGGCGGGAAAAACGTATTTTTCACTAGTGTCATGAATATCGATGGTGTTATTTTTATTATAGACATTATAATTATTATGATGTTTTTTAACATTAGTAACAGCTAAATAAGATAACGTAAAATGTTTCCTAAATCAAAGAGAAGGGTGAATGGGCAAGACAGGCGGTATTCGTAACTGGCTCATTGGTGATTTAGTACAAGTGTAGCCATCTATGTGTGAAAACAAACTAACAAGTAATCTCACAGTGGGCATGGCATGGCATGCCCGGCGGGAATGGGTTAATTTTCAGAAATATTTATTACTTTTTCATTGCTTTTAGTATTGTTAATAACATTGTGATAATCATAATGTCAGTAATAAAAATATTATTGGTATTAATAGCATTAGAAAAATATTTTTCCGGAAGTCTCAAGAAAAGGAGAAATCAAGTTCACCAAATAAAACTAAAGTAGTTGTATTCCCAGCAGTAGTAGGTTAATAGTAATGAAAGAATTAGAGCATAGAAGGTAGGGGTCAACAAACCAGGTTTTGAATGATGATTTTTTATTTTTTATTTTTTTTATTTATTTATTTATTTATTTTTTTATTATTATTTTTTTTTTTGCTGAGTAGAAGATCAAAATCAAAAAAATTATTGAATTTTGTTATCCCTGTCTTGTAAAATTGAAATTACTACTTAGAGACTACTACTTAAATAATGAAAATATTATATGAATATTTTTTTTAGAAACGCAATATTATTGCATGTGAATGTTTTCACGAAAGCATGTGAAAAATTCAGTACAGATGAAGAATGAAAGAAATATAAATATATATAATTTTAGATACATATATTTTATTTGATTTCATATTTATGACAAACAGTTACCTCAAATGAGTTGAATTGCAGACAGGAACACTTAAATCATAGTAGATTTATGGTTGCGCAAGAGTTTGTCATGTTGAAATTTTCCTCACACTGGATTTTATCCTACACATGCTTCATTGTTGCATCTTTAAGAATGTCTTCTTGTCTGTGTTTAAGAAAATACAATGGTAAGAGATATTCCAACTCATATTACTAGAGCAGTAAGGAGTTGAATGTGTGGATATAGAGAAGGTTAGGTCAAATAAGCAATAGGTTTTAGTCATATGAATTTATTACTAGTACTGAAAAATTGCAGCCTATACATGTCATGAATAGAGAAATATTTAAGTATGACTATTCATTATATTTCTCTAATATGCTTTGGTAATTCAACTACATTTTTCTGTTTTTAACCCAATGCTGCCAGTAACATGCTCACTGCAGTAAAGTTTTTAAAAATATATTTACACATTGATGGCTCCTCAAGTGCAAAACCACCAAGGAGCTGATTAGTTGACTTACTTTACCTCCCCTATTTGTGTTTTTTTCTAATGCTATTAATATCAAAGATGTTATTATTGTTATTGTTAACATTAATATCATTACAGTGTTATTAACATTAACAGCATTGTAAGATAAAAAAATTATTTCACCAAAAATCAAGTAAAAGGGTAAACAGGTGAGATAGGTAGGAAAAATAATCAATTCCTTGGTACCTAAGCACTTGTGGAGCCATCGATGTGTAAATACAATAAATAAACTAAAGTCATAGTAGGCAAGGCATGTATGAAGGAAATTTTACAAATGAACTCGATGTTATTTCTGGTTAATAGTGTTGCTTTTTTAATGCTTCTCATGAATTAAATATTGTAAGCTTGCAGGTGTGTTTATATATATTGTATAATGGTAAATCTTAGGAAAACTTTTTCCCATTCATATGTAATAGTAACTACTCATTAACCATAGCTATGCATCATTCTCATTGACATGACCCAGTTTATTGAAATATAAATATCTTGTAGGTGGTGATACATGATGGAATTCGCAAAGAAAAGATATGTCCAGTGAAAGACTGCTTTTTTAGCACATCAAGCAACAAGGATTTGAATCGCCATATTCGCAAACATACAGGTATTTTTTCAGTGCAAATGATATTGTCTTTATTCATGTCTATAGAGAAAATAATACATGTTTGGATATTGATTTTACTGGCTTTAACAGGTGAGAAACCCTATAGATGTGATGAGTGTGGCACATGCTTTTCTCGTGGTGACAAGCTTAAAGTCCATCGAAGGATCCACACAAATTCAAGACCATATTTATGTGACGAACCCGGATGCCAGTATAGAGCCATTGACTCAGGCAGTCTACGGAAACACAAGAGAACACATACTAACGAACGTCCATACAGGTAAACAAAACATTTTATCCACAAAAATCATTGCTTGTGCATGAAAGGCCTTTCTCACAGATTTTTAACCCAATGGTGAAAGCTGGCATATAACCAAGATAGTCATAGGCTTTGTGGACTTTCAGCTGCTACTGAAAAATTAGAAATACTGGAAACATATTTACCCTGATCACTGGATTTTAGGCTTTTTTGATACCTCAGTATCAAAAGGGGAGTGGCCAGTTGGGGGGGGGAGGGGTTGAGGTGAAAATACTGGGAAAAAAATTCTAGGCAGAGCTACCACATCTAGCAACACTGATGAAGTTTTACACTTATATATACTATATCTGCCAAATTATGGCCTGAATTTTTTTTTTTTTTTTTCTTCTTCTTCTTCTTCTTCTTCTGCGCATTCAGTGTTGTATAAAATAAAATATTTTGATGAAGTGTTTGAAAATATAGTGGTTCTGGGCAACCTATGCTCCAGCTCGGCTGCACAGTAGCCTGGATGACACACCAGTGATCCTCTTCGAAGAGAGAGGGTGTATTCTTGCTGGCATTACAGGACACTCTAGGGCTATTCCAAAATGCCTATTTTTCTGGGAGAAAGAGGCAGCTTTCTGTTGCAAGACATGAGGAAAGAAGTAGAAAGAAAGAGGGTAGGGATGGGTAGCCTGTAATGAAATTAGCTTTTTAACATTTAGTAAAGATGAACTGTAAATACTTATCTGACGCGAAAAAAAGGATAGAAAAAATGCATATTGATATAAAGAAACCGACCTTGTAGACCAGGAAAGCAGTCTTGAAAAGTATTCACAACTTTTAATATCTCAAAACATGATTTCTTCACCTTGGAACTCTATCTCCTGAGCCATTTATGCATTGCTTTTAATGAAACAAAGGCATAACTAAAGAGGAAGGCTCATTATTTACTGTAACAATGTGATATTTTCAAGATTAATGGTACTTTTTTTCACATAAAAAGACAAATAAAAACGGCTATTAAAAAATGGCATTGTTGCACCAAATACCATATAATGACCTTTCCTTCATGTGAAGCACATGATTGTACAATAAAAACTGTAGGAGACAGATTTTTTTTTTTTTTTTTTTTTTTTTTTTTTTTTTTTAAGACCGTTTAGGAGGAAGGAGCTTCTTATTCATGTAGTGGTCTTGACTTCTCATAATATTTCATCTCAATAAAATCAATAATAATAATTTTCCCTCCAAACTGGCTGCTAGTTTTGAGGGGCTCTAGACCCTCAGCAAATGCAGTCAGAGCCAATTAAGTTAGATATATAGGGAAGACAACTTGAAGCAGGTTGACATGTGTGGCTTGGGTCCTTGCTACCCAGCTTTTGGGGTGGATATCAACCATCCATAATAGATTAATAATTGTAGAAATAGATTTGTTGGTAACTTCTTAACACACTGACACCAGGAAGAGAGTTCTTGAAAAGAAGAGTAATTTCATTACTTGCTGTCACTGCACAGAGTTGTAGACTACATATAAACAATTTCCAAAAAAAGCCATAATAACTAAACGAAGGCATGAAGTTTTGATACTGCATAAAAGTGTTTGTCTGTGCCAGGCCCAGGTAGGACTTGTAGTTGACTCCTTGGTGATGAAGTACTTGTAGAGCCCCAATTTGTAAACACAACTAATAAACAAAACTCACAGCAGGCATGGCATATCCATACATGCCATCCTAGGTGGCATTGGGTAAGTACATGCATGCCACATGCACACATAGGCTTACTTTTTATACAAGGATGTCCTGTATTATATACCTACAATCATAAAAGATTGGTCTACTGTATTTAATAGGTATATAATAATAATATATTAGTGCAGCAGTAGATCTTGTCTATTTTGTATGTAAATATTAAAAACTCAATTGCTACTAGTGATGGCATATAAATGTCATGCCCACTGTGAGTTTAGTTTATTAATTGTCCATACACATAGACAAGTACAGTCACCAAGGAGTCAATTATTAGTGCTACCTCTTGATTTTTAGAAATATTTTCTTTAATCTTATATTGGTATTAGTAAAGTTAATATTATAATTAAGATGTCTATAGTAATAAAAATAAAAGCATATTGATAGCCTTAGTGGAAAATATACTGAAAACTCAAGGGAAGGTGAAATCAGTTTAGGCCACAAAGTGTACTAATTGACTATGTGTTGGGTGAGTGCTTCTGGTGTCGTCTATGTGTAAACATATTTCGCAAAACAAAACTACAGGGAACACTACCTTTTCCCACTACATTTTCCCAGCAGCATTGGGTTAAAAATCAGAAGTTTTCATGTCTTCATCTTTACTAGAGTAATACATTTACAACTATACAGATAACTTTTTAATGGTTTGCAGCATCTTGTATTAACCCATTGCCGCCGGGGAAAATGAACAAAAAATGGGGAAAATACTGTGCTCATTTTTTACATTTTTGTGAAATATCTCTGTACATAGATGGCTCTGATAGTCCTGATTTCACCTTTCCTTGAATTGGCGAGAAAAAAGTATTCTTGCTAGTGCTATAAATATAGATGGTGTTATTTACAAGTGTAGCCATCTATGTGTAAAAACCATCAGACAAGTCGACTCACAGTGGGCATGGCATGTACGTACATGCCATCCCCGGCGGCATTGGGTTAACACAAACTAAGTATTGTAATGATATTTTTTAAAAATGCCCATGGGTGATGGTAACCAGGCTTATTTTGTCTAGTGCATGAACACCCACACACCTATGCACTTGGAGCTGCCTAGTAATTTACAAAAAACATCAAGTATAATCATATACACAGTCACTGAATGGATGACAGTTTGCTTGTTTACTTGATTATCTATTTGCTGATATGAACTGACAATCATTATTTTTATTAGATTTTATAAAGCTTGATAACTCATTATCAGATAAAAGCTATCATAATTATACAATTTTAAAAAAATCTAAATACAACAATAAACCAAGTGACTATTGTGCAAAATTACAATCACAGACTGAATGTAGTGTTCCTTAGTAACCTGTTATAGCATACCACAGTAAGTTATTGTTATTATTATTATTATTATTATTATTATTATTATTATTATTACTGTTATTACTATTATTATTATTGTTATTATTATTATTAT